CCATTTTGTATCTGTGTATTCAAAGTGGTTAGGATAGATATATAGTTGCATTCTCTTAATGAATAGAATGATTTGTTCTAATGGTGTTTGTAAGTAGGATCTCAAGTCCTCATCTTGTACAGCAATTAACCACTAAGAAGAATATATGCAGTTTGTTATTTCTTGAATCTGTACTTCCGATTTGATTTGAAACTCTCATTGCTATCTGTTTATCAATAAAATTTTGAAAAAAGAAAAAGAAACGAAAAATAAAAAGCAACAGGAATAATGGGATAAGTGTATTCCTAGCAGTGCCAGGTTATTTTGAGGGGGATTAATGGCAGTGTGTCATTTATTCTGCATTTTTAACATTTAGACATTAAGTGTGTATTTTGAGCACCCCTTGTACCTTCAGCCACTGCCATGACACAAAGTTGCTGAGTCTAGTATCTAGTGATTACAAAGCAGTTTCTTAATTGAGGCCTGAATCACCCAGCCTGTCTGCCAGTGTCACTTGGAAGTTCACAAAGAACAGTTATCTTCGCCTTTCCCAGGTAGCTCTTATACACAGCTCACCTAAACATTTCCAGTTCATTCAAACTCATTACTCCAGATGAAAGTGAACTCCGCACTTTGTCAGATTTCTTCACCTGAGTGATCAATTTTATCCCTCACCACCAATTAAAAAGTTAAAAAGAAACAAAAATAGAAAGCCTTTCTTGAAGCTTCAGCATTTTGAAATCTATATGGCAGTTACTGCAACACCAGCTGTTGATTACTTTCTCTTGATACCTTGGCCCCAGCAGGGTTGTTTGCAGTTTATCTTTTCTTTTATGCAGGGTCTGAGTAGGCAGCTCAGAGTCATAGCGATCCTTCTGTCTCAGCTTCCCCAGTGCTAGATTACAGGCATGTGCCACCACACCTGGTTTCAGTGGCCCGGAGGGCACACCCACGGTTTCAGGGCTGGCACAGTATGCAGTACTGGGCATTGATCTCAGTTCCTTGCACTTGCCAGTCAGGTGCATAGACCACTGAGGTATATTTTTAACAATGCTTTGCTGTAGTGCTGAGGATTGAACCCAGGGCCTTAGACATGCTAAGCAAGTTAAGTGCTCTACTTATCCCTTAGCTACAAACACAGCCCTTCTTGTTTTGAGATGGGGCCTCCCTAAGTTGTTCAGGCTGTCCTTGAACTCGAAGTCCTCCTGCATCTCTCACTAGCTGGTATTACTGGTGTGTACCACTATGCTTGGAGAAAAGTGACTGTTGTACATTTAATCTTTCTTCTATTTTTGGAAATTAGTAACTTTTCTTAAAGAACTGCATGGAACAGTTGTGGGGAGATCATTCTCTTGTGAGGAAGAAACCAATGAAAAATTACGACAGGATCTTTCTCCTGTACACTAGACAATATCTCAATACCTCACATTTAGAAAAGAAGAAATCAATGGCTCTGTGCCTGTAATCTTCATTCTTATGGATAATATTGGGAGTGAATGTGTGTGTGTGTGTGTGTGCGCGCACATTTGTGATTGATCTTGAACCCTCCAAATGATCTTAGGTAGGGTTGACAGGAAAAATACAATGGCCCAGTAAAATCCAGGGAATGATTTGAAATGAGTATCATTTATACCCTTTTCCTCATAGGCCTGCAAAAACTATTTAAGGGTCGCTTCTGCTTGAAAAGAAAAGAAAATGCCTGGCAGTGTTACTGAAATTTATTTTAGGAAGGCCCTGCATTGTTAAAACATCACCAAGCACCTGGTTTAAAGGGCGTGGGTGAGAACCAGAGATTGTGTGACTAAACTGAAACTTTATCCACCAATCTTCCACTCTAGTTCTCCTTTAATTATTTGTCAATTCATTACTAAAATGACATGGGGTCAACAGTAAGTCCACAATACAAACGTCCTGGGATTTTTATTTCATTGTGCACTTTTTTTATGGGAAGTGATTTTTTTAGCTAATAATATACTTCTGGTTCCTGGATCATTCACCATAAATACTGATTTATGTCTGAAAGTCTCAAGGGGAATGTCTATCATAAATGTAGAACCTTTTTCTTGGTTCCAGAGATTGACTCAGGACCTTGTGCTTGCCTGTCAGGCATTTAGGCCACTGAGCTATCTCCCCAGCCCCAGCAAGATCTTTTGTTATAACTACCTTATCCAAGGAAGTTACATATATGTTGAATTAAAAATACATACAAACACAAATAAAATGGACAAAATAATATGGACAGTAAGAAATAAATTCACTTTGAGACCATCATATTAAATGAAATAAATCAGCTACAGAAGCTTAAATATTGTATTGTTTCTCTTACATGAGAAAAGCAAATTTTAAATAAAGATCAAAGTGAAAGATAGGTGCTAAGAAGTAGGGAGATAAACTTTTGTCAAAGGGGAAGTGAATCAAAAGATGGAGGAACAGAGAGAGAAGGGAAGGGGTGAGCAAAGGAATTAAGGAATTAAGATGTGTTACGTGTATGTCCCAACTCTACAAAAGAAGTGACAGCATTACATACTACAAACTTGGACTGATTAAACAGAACAACATATCTATATGTTAAGTACAATGACAGCACATGCAGAGTGTCTGTAGCGGAGATTGTTTCAGGAAAGATCAAATAGAAGTACATCCTATGAAGAAAGGATGTGGACAAGTAAAGCGAGGGGCTATAGTGGGTAAAGGCAGTAGCTCTTGGAGGGTCGCTTAAATGGGGAAGTGAAGTGTGCAGAGGGACACATGGTATATTTCATAGGACATAAGATCAGATCCACTAGAAGGAAGACTTCTAAACAAGAGGAAGGAGTAAGGGTGGAGGGGAATGAAAGACATAAGGAAGACTAATAAGGGAGATATGTACGATCAAAATATGGCGCATGCATGTATGGAAGTGCCACAATGAAACCCCCTATTTTATAAGATGAACATAGGATGATAAGATATATATTTAAAAAGCAAAGACAAAAGGAAGGACAATATGTCTTGACTGGAATATTCTGCCCCTCTCCCCTTCCCTACCATTCTCTACAAATGTCTCTCCTATCCCCAAATATAGGTTCAATGTCTTACATACATCATGTTTGAAAATAGAGCAAGCATTGTGCAAAAATTTTGGACAGACACCTGGTAGCTAGTCTCAGGAAATTCCAGTCGTGTTAAACCTGGAGATGTTGATTTGATGTAGACTGTTTAAAGCTATCAGTCTCTGATACAGAAGCTGAAATCTCAGAAGATAAAATATTTTGGGGCAATCTATAGTTGAAATCACTACTAAAATTATTATTCTGCCACTAGAGAATTGTAGACTATGCTGTTAAATGCACTGAGAACACATATTTCTGCAGTGAAGGAAATGTTCTATTTCTACCTGCTTTGTCCAATGCAGTATCCCCTGATCACATGTAGCTATTATGCGCTGAAAATATGACAAGAGTGATGGAAGAATTGACTTTTGAATGTTCTTCAATTGCAGCTAATTGATGTTTAAATAGCCACATGTGGTTAGTGTTTACCTTATTGGACAGCACAACCTTCTGTAAAGACCCACCTGGCTGCTTGCCTTGCTTGAGACAGGGAAACAATGTGTTTTCCTTTTCACAGATGGAATCATTTAGGTTTTAGCTGTGGGAACGTTTACAGTCCAGAATCTCTTATGAGTCTGACTCCTGGTGTTACAGCAAAATTGTGCATAGGTGATATTGCACATGTGGGTTGTCTAAAGAGCACAACCTTGAAGACTAGACAGGATTCATCCATCTTTTTGTATTTTTAATCTGGCTTCTGTAATTAGATTTTGTCCTTCAGACCAGTTTCTAATTGTGCTGTGTATCAGAATCACCCGGAGAGCTGGGTGATTGCTGGGCTCCACCTCCTAGCACTTATGATTTGGTAGGTCTGAGGTGGAATATGAGAATTCGCTTTCCTAATATGTTCCCTGGTGATTATGACACTGCCATACATCGAGAATCATAGCAGTGGTTCAGGTCCTTATCCCAATCTCTAGTTCTGGGAACCCATTTGTACTTTAATCTTTCCTCTGTGAGTTCTTTGCTCCCTTCTAAGTGGAGAGATAGGTCAGTTTCTCTCCGCCTAGAGACTTTCTGACTTTCACCAGCTTTGCTAGGGTCTGAAGTCCAGTATGTGTGAGCCTACTTCCTGTTGCTGACCAATTGTTTGTCTGGAATCTTGCTAGCCTCTTACCTTGAGACCATATTGTTCTGGCCCTTGATGGTTGCTCCCCTTGGACCTATCTTTCACCAGATGCTTACCGACAGGGCTTCCCCATGTTGATCAGTGCTGAAACTTCCCTAAATGCTTCCCTTGTGTCCTAGATTCAGTCTCCTATGAACATGGCCTGTCTTTTACTGAGCTCTAGTTTTGACATGTGATTAGGATAGAGTACCTGCCAAGGGAATTGACCTGGTTTGGCATTTTCTCCACCAACAACCCGAGTGAGGTCCTCAGATATCTTGTAGCTTTCAGTGATGTTATCCCAAATGGTTTCAGCCTTAGTGATGTTATCCCAAATGGTTTCAGCCTCAGCGATGTTATCCCAAATGGTTTCAGCCTTAGTAAAATTATCAGAGTTCATGTAAGAAAAAATAGTCTCAGAACGGGTGAGCTTCTTAGACTTGTATTGAACAGAAACTCTTCCACATGGAAATGGCACTAGAAAAGTAGACAAAACAATTAGTATCCCAATTTTTATTACTGCCAAATAGAACATGTATTATAAAAATTGAGAATGAGCCCCATTTCTGTCATTTCCGAGAAATGGACCATCAATATTTAAAAAGTCTAATCAGTGAATACAATATTAACTCAAAAGTTGAATTGCATTATTTTTATGGAAAGGTTTCAAAGTCTTCATGGAGAGTTGGCTAAGTAATGTACCATCTTTGTGAAAATATAGAATAGGTGTCCTGGATCAAATTTGCTATGATTAAAAAATATTAGTATATGTTTGTATGTAATGTTTATATTCTTTGTGGACAGTTCATGCATGTACATGCAACATCTTTTTTTTTTTTGACAGAACTACGGATTGAACTCAGGCCCTTGCACCTGCCAAAGAAGGACTTATTCTACTGAGCCATCTTCCTGGCCCCTACATGGCATATCTTAATTCTTTCTTTTGTGGTACTTTTTGTATCAGGAATTGAACTTAGGGCATTGTGTTTGTTTGCCAGGAGGGTGCTCATGCCACTAAGCTGTATCCCCAGCCCCTTAATTCTTTTTATCTCCCTTTCTCTTCCCCCTCCGCTTTCTCCGTCTCTCTGTCCCCTTCACTTTTACAAAATATATATCTACCTGTTCTTACATTCTCTGTTTTTATTTTGCTCTTTAATATATTTATGCTTTGGATTACTTATATAACAGAAGCTCTGTGCTATTTATGCTTGTTTGCCTGATTTATTTCACTTAACGTTATGGTTTCAAGGTGCAGGAAATGGTAAGACTTTTATAGAGTCTAATGACCTTCTGTTTAGTTTATTTCTGGAAGTCTTCCTTTCAAGTGCCAACCCTGAATGGAAGTCCGGTGATTGGTGCCTTGTGACTTTAGCATTAGAAACTGGTAAATGGGACTTCTGATCCTTACCATTAACAGTGTTTCTTTGGCAGAGCACATTCTTTTACGTTTCAAGGTGAATCTTCAGTGTTTGTTGAAGAAACAGCACTGTGATTCAATTACTTGGCTATCAAGTATTAACCAAATAGATTATGCATATGATAATCAGAGCTATATTTATCTGTGACCTGACTACCTTATCCCCTTGGGTTGGTTTATTTCCTAAAATAGTTTTTTTTTCTGATGCATTGGAGAAACTTGCAAATGAAAATTGTACTGAAACAAAGTCCCTCACACTTAGTTTTCATTTTCCTCCTAGGCATGTTCCTTATAACAGAAATTTCTATAGCAATCAGCTGCAACAGAGTATCATGAAGGCTTTAAGTGATTGAGAAAACAAAAAATTAGTTCAAAATACTTATATATAAAGATTGATAATGACTAGAAGAAAAGGGTAATTATCTTTGAAAAAGCTGTAAAGCTTATTTTAGGTTTGGGCTACTTATTTTGCTAAAGATAAGGTTAACTCTCAATACAACTTTTAATAGAAGTGATTTTCCATTCTTCCCCCCGCCCCCACCACCACCACAGAAAGTCTTCTAAGGACTGAGCATCTTTTTTGGGGGACAAGATCTTGCTATTAGTTCAAGATGGCTTTCAATTTGTTATATAGTCCAGGTTGTCCTCAAACTCTGTGATCCTTCTGTTTCAGCCTCCCGAGTGCTGGGATTATAGATGTGTGCCATCACGCCCAGCTGTATTTAGCTCTCATACACTCTGTCAACACTGGAAGTTAGCTTTTAAAAGATAAGGCATACATACATATGCATGCACACATAAACATGTACACACTCTTCTCAAATTATGCTAGCTTTATGTATGTGAAAAAGTGGGCAGAAAGATAGGTGGGCCAGCTCTGAAGCTTGTTGACTCTCTGTTTTAAATACAGCACGCATACTGTTGATTTCATGTCCATTCTTTAATTTCCTCTACCCAGTGCATTGCTGAGACAGGTATCAAATCCAGTTCCAGAGAAGTGTTGTGTGTGTTAATGTGCCAATTTAATACAAATCAGGCTTTATAAATGCAAAAGAACTTAAATTTAGCTTGATTCAAAAAAGTCTCTCACTTATCTAATATAATTGATTCTACAAAGCCTACTTTTTTGAACTTCAGTATAAAATTTCTACTTCAGTTTTCTGAGCAATAGGAGTGTGGAGGAGAGATAATCTGAATACAGCAACCTCCTGGCTACGTGGTGGCATGGATATCCTAACTGGAAAATACTGCACGGTCCATTGCTCTGTAGACTGTGCTGATCAGCCTAGCAGAATTTAAACAGTAGTCACTGAAACCATTCTGACATCAAATGTATAAGCTCAGCTTGAGATCCAAAGTCAGAAAATAATTTTCTTAGAGTAAACTATGCAGGCCTTGACAGACTTGTGTTTAAAATTCGCCATCTTTATACTAGAAACCTATCGCTAAGTCAATTATTTAAGCACTTTTATGGTATGTACTCTATCAATGTATTCACTTCACTAGATGAATGACCAGGATTACATAGAGAAATCATGCAAATTGATTGTTCTGTGATCTAAAAGTTAGTGAAAGTAATTAAACACAGAAAAGAATTCAGGCAGTAGATAATTACAGAATTTATGTTTTAAACAATGGTGTGATTTGGAAAATGAATTTGTCTAATTCAGGTTACTAATCTTTTATTTCAAAAGGAAGTAGTTAGCAATTGGAATTAAAAATAGCTGAAGTGCTCAAAGTTCAAATATAGATTTCCTTTAAAAATGTATTTAGATATTTACCTGCTGGTTCACAAGATTTTTGGTCTTCTGCAAGTCGGTATCCATCAGTACAGGAACAAACCACCTTGTTTGTAGCATCCCTTTTACAAAACTGCTTGCACCTGCCATTCTTAATGCTGCAAGTTGCATCTGAAAGAAAGAAAAATCAATAACCATACCATAATTTGACATGTGCTTCTAAAAAACATGTGGAACTATTGACTCATGTATGGGCCAAATAAGCTTCAAGCATTTGTATTGAGAAATTTGGGGGCTTGAGCTAAGATGAGAAATGAGAGTCAAATAAAATTCTCAGTAAATCATAATAGTGGTGACAAGAATATATGGATTCAGTGTAAAACTAAATAATTGGACACCATACTTTCACCAAATCATGGGCTGAAATTTAAAACTGGTTTACTGAAGTATATAGCTCAAATTCAGATTTGCATGTGTTTTCACAAAGTACAGACATTCCTCCTTTAATGACCTATTCATTTAATGGCTGTTTAGATTTATGATGGCTATTTAGATTTATGACCAAGGAACATGGTTTGGACTTATAAGCCACTGCTTAGACTTGTGACCCATCTTATTTTTGTACAGTTATGTAAATCTTGTTTATGGAGCCTCAATGTCTTTTTTGTACAGTATACCTTTTTGATACAGTACTGTAATTTTTTGCTGATTTTATGGTACACAAAAGTACTGTAAGGTTATGTTCTGTTATACATTATAGTTTTGCATATAAAAGCAAAGTAAAAAACTTGGAGTTTTCTTTCAGCATTTATTTGTTCTGAATATTGTAATACTATACACAATTCCTCATTTAGTGAATAATTCGTTCAAGGACTGAGTCCCATGAATGGAACTCAATTCTTAAACAAGGAAAATCTGTAAATACACTTATTTAAACACTACACACTGCAGGGCTAGAGAGATAGCTCAGTAGAATAAGTACTTGCCTGGTAAGTGCAAGGGCCTGAGTTCAATCCTCAGTTCTGCTGAAACAACAACAACAAAAGCAAAAAACAAAACAAAAAAAAAAACTACACACTGCAAAGATCAGTTCAAAGGGTATTATCACAATCCCAGGATGTCTCCTAATGTTCCTTCTCACAGGTTACCATTACCTGTCCTTGAGAGAGTGTACAGCTTAGGTAGTGTATAATTTCATGTAAATATCTCACAATAATATTCTTCTGCATCTTTCATTTAGCCTTTCATCTGTAAGATTCATCTATGTGGATTTTGTATAGCAGTAGTTCATTTACACTGCTGTGTAGTATTCTACTGTATTGATGCCACAACTTATACCCAACCATTCTATTAGTGGATTTGTGGGTTATTGTCAGTTTTGGGCTCCTCTGTATAATACTGCAACAAACCTTCTTGTACGTATCTCTTGATAATACAAGCATGGATTTTACTGATTTCTACCTGTGAGTTGAATTGTTGGAAGATATATTTAGGTCTAAAGATACTACCAAGCAATTTTCTGAAATGATAGTGCAAAGTTAAATTGCAACTAGCAGTGCCTGAGAAGATATTATTAGATATGTGTATTGCAGATATCTTCATCCACTCTGCAGCTTCCCTTTTTCCCTAAATATTGTCTTTTGCTGAACAAGATTTCTAAATTTTAGTATAGTCCTTTTTATCTTTTTCTTTGTGGTGAGGAACTTTTGTATTCTGTTTAGATTTTTGCAGCTGTACATGGTGATACATGCCTGTAATCCCAACTTTTAGTGAGGCTGAGGCAGTAGGATTGCAGGTTTGATCCCAGACTGGGGAACTGAGATGTGTTTCAAAATAAAATCAAAAGGGCTTGGGATGTAGCTCAATGATACAGCACTTGCCTACCGTGTATGAAACTCTAGGTTCAGTCCCCTGTATTGTATAAAACAGAAATTTTTGTTTATCCTAAGATCATAAATATATAATTTTGTTATTTTATATCCCATATTTACATCCTTATTGCACTTGTATTTGATTATATCTGGTGAGGTAGGTAGGGATCCAGATATATTTTCCATGTGTGTACACTTTATCATTATTTATTGAAAACACTACTCATTCTGTTCTTCACTGCAGTGGCTCCTCTTGTCACAAATTAAGTTTCTTTGTGTTATAGTTTATATCTGAATGTCCCTGTAAATTCTCATGAGCTCACAGGTGGGACTTTAGAAAGCTGATAGGATTTGGGTAGCTGTGTATTTCTCTTCCTGGCTCTCCCTTGCCCTCTCTGCTTCCTGAATGCCGTGAAATAAACAGCTTTCCTTTCCCTGGCCCCTTCCAACATATTTTTCTGCCTTGGAATCCACTGACTATGGGGGGCATGTTTGGAAACTTTGAGCCCAAATAAACTTCTCATTTCTTAAGTTGTGGGTGCTGGTTAGTTTCTTCCGACAATGAAGAAAGTAAGTAAGAAAGACATTTTGCAAGTTCTTATATGTTCCTGGATTTTCTAATTGTATTGAATTGATCTATATTTCTACATTTGTGTCAATACAGCAATATCTTAATTAATGTATCCCTGTACATCTTGGTAAAGGAAGCACTTCACTGTTATTGCCATTATCTTGGCTATAATTGGCTCTTTGCATTTCCATAGACGAATATAGAATTCACAATATTACTTCCTGTATATGTCAAAGAAGAAGGGAGTTTTGATTGACATTGCAATGAATCTATTAGGAATTTTTTTTCTTGGTACAGGGTCTCACTGTGTAATCCAGGATGGCCTTGAATTCACTATGTAGCCCTGGCTGGCCTCAAACTCCTGCTGGACTCTTGCTTCAACTTCCCAAGAGTTGAGATTACTAGCATATACAACCACACCTGTTTTATTAGGAAATACTAATACTAATACTAATACTAATAATAATAATAATAATAATAGATTCACTATATCGAAGCCATTATTTCATTTAGGTATTCCTTACTATTTTTAATAATGTTTGGTAATTTTGTATAGACTTTTTCTACATCTTTCTTATTTTTATTCAAAAACATTTATTTTTATTTCATTACTGTTGTGATTTGTATCTAGTTGTTGCCCCAAAGCCTCATACAGTCATGGGGTGGGCTTCTAGAGTTTGTGATTAACTCATGAGCCACTAGGATTATGGGTGTGAGTACTGTTGGGATTATGGGTGTAATTGCTGCTGGAATAATGGGTGTGAGTGCTACACCCAGCCTGGGAAAGGTAGCCTGACTTGTTATGTATAGCCATTTTGTTGCTGCTTCTCCTCCCTTGTGCTCTTGTTTTGCTGTTTTCTGCCACTATGAACTGCAGCACTCTTCCATGTGCTGCTTTGCCGTGGACTGAAACCTCCAGTAACTGTGAGCTAAATAAACCTTTCCTTCTTTCATTTTGAGTGTAAGGTATTTGTCCCAGCAATGAGAGAAGAGTGACAGAGACAGAATTTGGTACCAAAGAAGTGGGGTCATTGCTGTGTCTAAACCTGACCATGTGCATTACAAGCTTTTGGGAATGGCTTCTGGGAAGAGATAGGAAAGGTGTGGAGACGTCGCCTACAAGAGAAGCAAAAGAACTCTTTTGGCTCTTCTGTATGGGAGATTCTGGTCAGAACTCAGAAGACCAGAATGCTGATAGAAATCCTCCCTGTAAAAGCCAGGCAAGGGAGGTTTCTGCTGGGAAGAAGGACTGCATTGGTTGTTGGACTCCAGATAATATATGTCATGGGTTGGCAGAAAGTTTGTCTGAATTTTTCCCATGTCCAGAGACTGAGATTAAGTATGATGGACTGATTAATCTGGCTAAAGAAATTTCAAAGCAGTCGAATATCAAGGCAGTGGCAAGACTATTGTTGGGGATTTTTTAGTCAGATTTATGCTGAGAATCAAGAGCAAAGAGACCAGCAGGATGAGTTAAAATGTTATGAGTTTGGCCATAAAGGAAGCTCCAGTAAAACTGTGGAATGCAAAGATAGAGCTGAGAGGATCTCCATTACTGAGAAGAGTAATTAAGACAATTATAAAACTTGCTTTCTTTAATTTTTGTGAGTACATAATCATATAATTAAAACCTGTATGTTCACTATCTAGAAGATTTTCTGTAAGTATTCATTTATACAAATTGTTTAAGTTCTTTGTGTTTTCTATATATACAACCATTTTCCTGAAAGTTACATTTTTCCTTATTTCTTTCAATGAGTAAAAAAATAACAAATCCATAACTTCATGCACATACTGCCTCTTTGTACCAAAACACAGTACTCTCTGTTGCTTAGTTATCCTAGAAGTTGTTTGGCTTTCTAAACTGGAGAATTAAACAGGAATTTATGTAGGGAAGAAGGACTGCATTGATTGTTGGACTCCATTCTCTATACTTAATTTATTAAGTATAGAGAATTCTATACTTCCAGAGATAGAATCTAGAGCGCCCTAGAAATTATAGGGTTAGGGAGTCCAGAGAACCTGAAAACAATTTGAAGCTGGTTGAGGTAGATACAAATCAACATAGAAGAATAAATTGGGTCTTTTATGAAGCTAACCACTAAATACATTGTGTATTGACAGTACTCAGCATCCCACTGGCCCACATTTTCTTTATTCCCCAGTGTAATCTACATTAATAATATAAAATATCTTTGTCTTTTGTAAAGGTTTTCATCTTGGAATCTATTTTGTCTGATATTCAGATTGCTTTCCAAATTTCATTATTGCCAGGCCTTACCTGATGATTCCTTTTACATCCTTTTATTGTAGCCTCCTGGTGTAATTTTATTTTAAGTATCTCCGTGTCAGAAATGTGCAATTAGATTTTACCTCCATCCCAAAACTTGCCATTAATGCATTAGTTTAGTCTCACTTCACATTAATTATAATTTGTTGTAAAGTTGGCTTATTTCTGCCATGTTATTTTATATCTCTAATTAGTGTGATTTTTCTGTGTTTCTCCTATGCAATATTTACAGCAGGAAATACCATGATTCAGGACTTGCTGGCTGAGACCTGCTGAGTTCCAAGAAAGAATCTGTGCCCTTGGACCTATTTCTGACTATGGAGAAACACAGGAATAAAATGCATGTAAGACACCTTCCCCTTACCTGCACACTCAAATACAGTCCAACTTTCAGTAGAAATGCTAAGTATTTAGTGCATTGATAGCATGGGAAGTTTGA